CAAGATCATTCCACTGCACTCCAGCCTGGGCAACAATAGCAAAACTCTGTCTCAAAAACAACAACAACAACAACAACAACAACAACAAAACCCCAAAATCTTTAATTTATAATGAGAAAATAAGGATAATTATTTAAATGAAATTACTGATAGTTCAATAGAAGAGCTGGAATATCTCCATCATTCCACTGAAAATGCTTATTAACATTACCAAAGACTTGCATCTTGCTAAATCCTAGGGCCCTTCTCTGCCCTTATTTAACCTCTCAGCAGCATTCAGTTGATTAATACTTCCTGTTTGAAATACTCATTTCTGTGATACCACTCTCATTTATTTCCAAGCTCCTAGTACACTGTTTCTTTTACCAAAAAAAACTTTCCTAGTCTTCTCATTTCATTTAATGATACCACTGTCTACCAGTTACTCAGTAAGAAATCCGAGAGCCATCCTGGATGCTTCTCTCCTTCATAACTCTCAATTTCAACTCATAAGCAAATCCTTGTTGGCCTTATCCTGATCTTACCCACTTCTCCCGTCCTAGTCCAAAAATCGCCATCATCTTTCACCCAGACTTCAGCAATGGGCTCCTATTTTCTTCCGGCCCACACTCTTGCCCCATACAGTAATTTTTCCACATAATAGCAAGTATCGTCTTTTAAATTTCCAGTCTTCCCAGTGTGTTTAGAGTAAAATCTCTAAGACTACACATAATCTGGTCCCCGCCCACTTCTAAAGTCTTAACATCATACCCTACCTCATTTGAATCTGAGATACGAATCCCTATGAAGATGCACTTAACCTCTGCCTGAACTGCTCTTCCTCTAGATCTGCACGTCCAGCTTCTTTCCTCATTCAAGTGTGAAATAAACTATTGATAGAATTTTTCTCTAAAATTAACTGTGTATCTGCCTCTTCCCATACAGCTAAGCTCTTTGAGCACAAGCATAATTTATTCCATATGGTACTCTTCAACTTTATTGTGCCTAGCACATGGTAGGCACAATAAACACCTGTCTCAACAGATTGAGCGGTTAGAGAAAGGATATAACCCTTTTAGTATTCTAGCATGTGTGAATTCCTTTCTTATCTACCTGTTGGTGGTAAAGACGGTAATAATGACAGTGACTAAGTTTTACGAACCAACCTTACCTTACCCAAAAAAGTACATTAGTTTATTATCTATATTTAGTCCCCAAATATTTTGAGACAAGGTCTCAGTCGCCCAGGCTGGACTGTAGTGGCATGATCATGGCTCACTGCAGTCTCAACCTCTGTGGGCTCAGGTGATCCTCCCACAATAGCTCTGGATAAGCTGGCACTGCGACCCACACCATCATGCTGGCTAATTTTTCTATTTTTTTTTTTGTAGAGAGAGGGTTTTGCCATGTTGCTGGTTTCAAACTCCTGGGCTCAAGCGATCTGCCCGCCTTGGTCTCCCACAGTGCTGGGATTACAGAAGAGAGCCACTTTGGCCACAAAACTTATTTTTTGAGTTAGGTAACTCTTCTTCAGGTGAAGACCACTAACCTACAGGGGTTCATAATCCGAAGCTTAAAATAGGTTTCTGGAAAGAAAGAAAAAAAGTCCATTCATTACTCTAAAAATTGAGAGTTGGGAATATAAAACTATTAAGTATCACAAAATAATAACTCAAATGTCAGATGTATATTGCTTATGTAGTTTCTTGCTGGGCGAATACTATCAACATAATACCACCTACCATTGCTGTATGAAATGCAGCTGAAACAGAAGTAGCTAATCTGTTTCACTCCTCTTCTACTCCCACAACTTGGAAGGCCAAAGGATTTGCAATGACAATTTGCAGTGGCATTAGTTTTAGACAGGGTTATACGGCTATTAGTCTGAAAGTTCTTTTGACTTTCAAAAGCTGTTTGATTGCGTTATCACTGTACTTTGAGATTAGGGTGGTCCATTCCACCAGGTGAACGTTACATCTGAGAACACTATTTTTGGATACATAATAAATTCACAAGTGGTTTCTTAGATGTTGCAGTCCTTAAAGAGTTCATTTTAAAGCACCATAACAAGGCTTGCAAAGCTTGGGAGAGAACATTTCTTACCCATGTCTTTCCTTGGCTTAATTTCCTGCTTTAAAGTATTTAATTTTATACTGAAGGAATAATTCCTAAGAGACATTTGTTTGCAACATGAATTGTTCCAGGTCAGATAATTACACAGCTCAGGAGAGACCAGCTCCTTCATGAATGTTTCAGAGCCTAATAAAAAGGTAATCTTAAACATGGAAAATACTAAAACCCTTTCAAACCAAACGAACAAGATTTTCAGTACTTTAGATAAATATTCTTAAAACATTTAACAGCTATTTTAGAGAAGTATACATTTTTGAAGTACTTGATCAAGCATATATATTGTAGTTTAAAGTTACTGTGCTGATCTTGGGCATTGTAACTAATGTAACACAGTAAATACTTAAGTAGATGAAGTACTTTTTATTACCAATAAGGGAATGTGCACTTCCAGATAAGTAAAAAAACCCTTGAGTATTTAAGCCTTATAGCATCTTATGACACATCCTGCACATATAATCAGTTCTCAAGTATTAACTGGTGGAACTGACCATTTTAGGCAGACATCCTGTTACATTACTAATCACCTACTACTTCTTTCCCAACCAGTGTTAGCTCAAGGAATTTGTTACCTTTTACATTAGCTTATGATAAACAAAAGGGAGAAAATTCGTAATGCAACCAATTATGTAACACATTGCAAAACCAATTTTCTATTTTCCATGTCACTGCTCCATTTCTTGAAATATAATTTTCTTCAGTGTTATTTAAAATAGATGCACAAAAATTTATTACTGTAGTAAACAGTAGGGGATAGGCAAACATTTTTAACAGAAATTAGATACTCAATACTTGGCATTAATATGTTGCTAATAAGCATGCCAGAACTTTTGACAACTTCATGGGATGACGCTAGAGATTACTTTTTTCTACTCTCTAAACTCCCATAAAATGGATGTCCAATAAAACAACCTTTAGCAATTAATTTTAAAATGTCCTTACTTCAGAATTTAAAAATTACTCTAGATTATGTAAATTTGGACAGTCTTCCACATGAAACCTAGTCATAACACGCAAGTTACTGGTACAATGGTAATTCTTTTCATGGCATATGACATTTGCCTGTGTCAGAAATAAGTGATATTAAAATGGAAAACTGGAAAATTACTGTGATAAACTGGTGATGAATTCTGTACTCCTACAGTATGTTTCACTTATTACATATGTATACATATGCACACAAAAAAGTTTTGGCCAGCTATTCATGTGGAAATTCTGAGCAAAGCTTATAATTTTGCCAACATGGAACAAAGTTGCCCCCAAATAGTATTTAAGAAATAATTTTTTCTTTTTTCCTGTCACAGGGTTTTAAGTTAGACTTGGCATATACCTTTGATGCCATAATATTTTTTAACTACTACAGGTAGATATTATTATACGTGACACTAAAAAAGTAAAATTTTAGAGAACCACACACTGGTTGCTTCTGAGACATTACCTAAGATAAATCTCCTTAAAATTCAAAAGCAAGTAAGTGACGCTAAATTTTAGTGTTTTGAGAAACATGTAGAATCACTACTGACAGTTTAAATTTGTGGTGCTTAATATAACACAAATCCTCCAAATGGCATTTAAACTCAAGTTTTAATGGCCCAAGAAGTTACTATAAATTTAATAATCTCGAGTTAAAGAGAACCTCCGATTTGTCTTCGTTATGAAATTTCTGCCAAACTCCTACTTAAAAATGTACCAGGCCAAGCACGGTGACTCATGCCTGTAATCCCAGCACTATGGGAGGCCAAGGTGGTGGATCACCTGGGTCAGGAGTCCGAGACCAGCCTGGCCAACATGGTGAAATCCCATCTCTACTAATAATACAAAAATTAGCAGGTGCCTGTAATCCCAGCTGCTCGGGAGGCTGAGGCAGGAGAATCGCTTGAACCCAGAAGGTGGAGGTGGCAGTGAGCTGAGATTGCACCATTGCACTCCAGCCTGCGTGACAAGAGCGAAACTGTTTCCAAAGAAAGCAAAAACAAAAACAAAAAAACAGTATCAAACAAATATAAATAGGATGCTGATTTGGCGGGGGGCGGGGCGGGGGGACCTAAAACAATGAAAACAGAAAGAAATCCTCCAGAAAAAGAAAAAAGGGGGAAAATTTTAATTGTGGTCACATAAATGAAGACCAAATGCCTTTCGTGTCACATTCTGAAACCTGATACTCCACCTCTTGTTCTGGATAGTGTTCTTAAACACTTTGAAACAAAATAGTTAAATGTCAAATTCCTTTTTATTTTTTGTTATATATTTCAGTTCAAAATGTTTATCTTCCTCAAAATGGTAGAAATATTTAGTCATAAATCCCATACGAAGAATGAAACTCCCAGTTTTACTTGTTTTGTATGCTCAAGCCTCACTTCAACAATGTAAATTAAAAGAGAAATTTTCAGGTTTAAAAGTGACTAAAATAATATTTCAAAAAATCCTTAGTAAATTAATGATTACAGATCTCTGAGCTGCTTAAAAAGAGGTAAAGGAAATCCACTAGGCAAATAATTTTTTGTCTTATGGACTAACTGCTTCACCCATAGATGTAGACTGACACTGACACCACAAAAGTATACATACCTGTGTTTACTGAAGAATTATAAACTGATTAAAAAAGAAAATTTCTCACAAAATTTCTACCATCATGGATATTTTAAATATTAAGAATAAGAATTTTTCAGTCTAAGACAAACCTAAGTCTTACATAAGGTAACAAACAGTACCACCCACAGTATAGCCCATTTAAAACAGGCCTCACTTAAATATTAGGTTCTCAGTTTTCTTGAAAGATGTATCAGCCTGTAGTTAGAAGGGACTCACGTAATGAGAGCATTACTTAGTACATATATACTCATCTTTAAAAAGAAATCAGTTATGTTACATTAAGATGTGGAGAAAAAGTATTTAATCAACAACTTTAATGTAAGAGCAAGAATGAATGAAATTTCCATTCAAGAATGGAAATCCAGCTCTTGTAGTAGACAGCATCTACTTGTGGCAGCCAAAGACTTCTTTGCAGTAACTTTTAGCTAGGTTGAGGGATAAAAAGAAAAATGAGATGAACACATTACAATATGATGTAAACCACTGGTACCGTTTTCACAAAAGTGGAAAAGATTTAATCAGTGAATAAATGCTACAAATTTGCCAATCGATTTTTAACTTCCCCTAAATTTATATTTTGATAAGCAATCTCTAAGATTTCAACTCTACAATATTTGATGCACAAAAACACAGAAAAATGTTTTAAGGGAAGAATAAATTATTTTAAGTTAGTCAGACTGTTAAGATATATTTAAAAACCTGTATTCCAGAACAGAAGTCACAGATGACTAACAGAAAAAAAAGAACGCACCTATATCTGGGTAAACAAAGCTACGTAATACACAATTACAATAAATTATTACGGTATAACTTTGGATACTGTTATATATTTAGCCCAGTTTTCCACAGAATAACAAGTGCATGCTTTCTCTCTAGAAAGTGGAAGATGCACTACTGTACAAAGCAAAGATAGCATAGAACTGGGCATTGCAAGAATTGGAGGATAAAGGTTAAATCATTTCATTCAAATCCTTCGAATTCTAATTCCATCAACTCAAAGTTAAGAAGGGCTTTAGTTTTCAAGGGTTATCACATGCATACATATTTGAATACAGGCACAGAAACTCATCATTTTTATTTGGATAACAAAGGGTCTCCAAATTATATTGAAAAATAAATCCTAATTAATATCACTCTTGTAAAAAAAGTTTAGCACACTTTTCACAAATGATTTATGTAAAAGAGAAGAAAATACACATAATTTTATAATATCTTAAACTCTTTTATTCCCTACCATAGACATTTTGTCTTTTGTTTTCTTTCCGTTTTCTACAATTTCCAACTTGTACCTGTGTTTAATACTGCTTTAGTCTGCTAAAGACATTAACTGATTGCTTTTCTAAATCTAAGGATTATATAGTTTTAGTATAAATATATATCACATATTTTCGTAAAATTTTGACAAAACCGAATAAGCATGCCTTGTTTTAAGTCCATGCTCCTTCCACTGTTTATAAAATCTGATTTAATGATCAAAAAATTCTTGGTTGTCACTCTTCTGTTACAACAATCTTCCTTCTGAACTGCCACCCAGTTTTTACATAATAACAAGCAATAGAAAAACCAAAGAAATTATGTTAATCTTAGTTCTTCCTTTCGACACTATAAAATAATGTGAACTTTTTAAAAAATGAAACAAATACATCCAAAACTCAATACATTCAAATGAGCTGAGTTCCTTTAAGGTAGTTTGTTACCTTGGAAGGCCACAGTTCATTCTCCTAAGTATACTGCACTGCTCAAAAAACCTTTAAAACTCTTTTGGGATTGCTTTCAAAGACAGTTGTATACTTTCTGCATTACCTCAAAGTTAGGTGGAAGTTTTGGAAACTTTCACTTGGTGCCAAATAATGGTAACTAAAAATAATCAAGCTTCCTAATACTGTATTTTTTAAAACAACGTATAATCATAAAGTTAATAGTGTCTGTGACAAATTAACTTTGAATGCAATTCTAAAAGAGTAAACCCAGCAGGTTTTGGGCAATGGTAGATTGCTGGCATTAGGAAATAACCTTCCAGCATGATCACTATTCAGAGTAACATTCATTTAGCTGTCTATGTTCTGGCATATTTGTTTAAAGTGAACATTCTGAGAGTTAGTATTCTTTTGAAAAGGAATATCACTCTTTAAAAAAAAAGAATTTTATTCCTTTAAAGCATCACTGTCATAACTATGCAAGTGTTTTGTTAGAAAGTAGTTCTCCTTACTGTATCAATAAAGACTACTTTTAAAAACTTGAAAGCAAATAACCAGCTTATTTGCCCCCAGGCTTTTTAAAATCATTAACTAAAGATAAAATAATTTGAAATTTCGAAGGTACTAAAAAACAAAACAACAACTCCAAATGTAATAAAAACACATCAAGAACCAAACTACAATTTCTGAGCTGCACTGTTTATTTTGCTGCTTGAAACCTAAGTGACAGTATGCCACTATAATTATGGGGTTTCGTCTAAACCTTTACTACACTGCAGGTACAGAAATATACGGACACATTTTTAGAGAATTGACATTTTGCAAAATGCAGCAAACATTTTAATTTATACATGAGAAAAGGAAGTGTTCAAAAGGGTATGCATTTCAAGTTATTGCAGGTTATTTGTGAGAGAATTTCTGCAGGTAAAACATGTTTAAATTTAACCAACAGTAGCGTGTCAGTGTATTTAAAATCATGACAAAAATCTTCTCTCTGGTCATGTTGCCCATGACAAATTACTATGATGTTGTATGTTTAGGGCAAAATGTCAATACAGCATAAATCCCATGGTATTTTGGTTTTCTTCTGGAGATTAAAGCTGTTTTTCTTGGGATAAATGCAGCAGCAAAACACAAACCAGTTGATCAAAAAAGCACTTCTGCCATAACTCCAATAATTTTCAGGACACATCAACCGACAGTAGTTTTGCCATTCCCAGTTCTTTTAAGGATTACATCTCTGCACTGTTGCCTTAAGGACGTCTGTAAAAGCTTGTTCTCTGTTAAGCCAGTTTACTGACTACAGCCTGGTTGAGAGAATTTAGTTGGTTGGTCCATTTATCTAGTGCAGTATATCGTGCACCACCCCTCTTCTGATGATCCAGTTCAAGGAGTTGGTTGACTTGATCAATTCGGCCATGAATAGTGCTAGAAATAAATAAATAAGATGTGTCTACAAAAGATTTTCATCAAGCACAGTTTCTGGACTAATGTTTCATAAAATATAGTATCAACAAATGCAAAAAACAAAAAAAAAAGCAGCTGCCTACATTAAATGAGTTCAGTGTTAGTTTTAACTTCACTGTTATTCAAACTCCAGATAGAAACCAGATTTCAGATACTTTTCATCAGTTTCACTGAAAGAACCATGAGGCATAGATTTATCCAATTAATCAAAGGCAAATATCACCTGTGAAGCTTTAAGCACTGTACTGTTTTTAAGAAAGATGTAATTTCAAAAATGTTATGTACCACATACCCTATACTTAAAAACATACACAAATACTATTCATTAAATAATTCTTTGGCTGTATATAATAAGAAATTCTTCTGAAAAATCATTTAGAACTTTTTCTGAGATGTGTTTAATATGGCCATTCATCAAAACCCGTCACACATACATATATATCTCTTCTAATAGAAAACCATAATACAAGGGTGCTTTTTATGAATAATCAATAATCCAATTGCTACCTTTGTCACTATTATTCAAAACTTATGGTACCAAACATTTTGTGATAAGAAATAGTAAAGTACTTACTTATCCAATATGCACTGCACCAGCAAGCTCTCCACATCAGCTACATCTATGTTTAACTCCTAAGACAAAAGACTTGTTATATACTAATTAACACTTTAAAGACTTCATAATTTTACATAATCATTCTAATTTTAATTCATTTCTATCACTTAAAGGAAAATTAGTGAAGAGAAGATTTTTAAACATATTACATTATCACTTCAAAATATCTCCAAGAACACAGGTCTGATGAAGACTTAAATTTTTAACTTTCTGAAGTATATTTCTACAACAATTTTATTGTGGTTGAAGTTAATCCTTCATCAATTATACATTTTAGCCACTACTCTCCCCTATAAATTTTCTCTGAGGGTGAAAGTATCTTTAAAAAGAAATTTAGTGATCCCTAATTTCTTTGTTACAATGTTAAGGCTCTTTTCTGTTAACTCAATTTACGCCAAGAAAACAGAAAAATTCACATTAAAAGTAAAGCCCCAGTCCCAGCTACTCAGGAGGCTGAGGTAGGAGGATTGCCTGAGGTCAGGAGTTCAAGACTATAGTGTGCCACACTGTGTCTGTGAACAGACATTGTACTCCAGCCTGGGCTATACAGCGAGACCCTGTCTCTTAAAAAATAAATAAAAATAAATAAAAAATTAAAAGTAAAGCCCTTATGTTTAATTTAAAAAATGTATTATTATAATAAAATGTTACCAAGTTAGAGGGACTCATAAATGGAAGACTGGTATACTGCATTTATAACTATAAATTATAAACACCATTAAAATCCATGAATGTAAGTACCTTAGAAATAAAAGGAATATGTATTCTTGTGTAAGGCTTAATTAATTTTATAAGCACTTGTGTTCTGATGTTTCGCAAAAGCTCTGAAAGACAAAAATTAAAGTAACATTTTATTTAAGTTTGTATGATATCTTTATGAATCATTATGTACTCCTAATTATCTTCTCAAAATACATTTTCCTGCTTGACAAGGATATAAAGTGTTTAGATTTTAAAATACCTGAGTCAATGGATGCACAGTATGATCAATTGCTGCCTATCCCATAACTTCTTGTTCCCACCTCCTTGATTTTGTTGATGTTGACAGTCTACTAAAATATTACCTTGCCTTCTCAATATTACACTACTTTGTCCTCAACAGTTAACATACTTTAAGAAGCTCTGATTTATATCAGCCAGCCAAGTTCCTTGTTTCAGACTCTCTCAAAACCTAGAGTACTATATTTCATATAATGCGTTTACAATTTCCTCCAGTTTTGTCTTAAAATTTTTTAAAACCAGGTTGAAATTCATGTACAAGTTTCTACATTTTTCTATATCTATAAACTGCAGTATCATTCTAGGTTCATGTAAGAACTTTTCAAATGTCTGTTGATTAAAAGAGAAAGGAAGATGGGGAACAACAGAACATTACTTCTGATGCATCTGAAATTTAGTTCCAAATGGTCATTTAAAAACCTTCAAATAGCTCCATAATAGGTGGGAAAATTGGAGCTATAAAAGAGGTTCAAGAACAAAGAGATGATTGTAGTCTTTGGTAATTCAACATAACTTGCTAAAAACCTCATTCACTTACTGGTATGAAACCTTCACAATGTTACTTTATCTTTCACAGTACATACATCCGAGCATTATCTATAGCAGGATATTTTCAAAACTTTTGTTGTCAAAAATAAACCCTAAAAATTAACTTTGAACCTAAGCATCAATAATAAACATGCAACAGCATCTATATTAGATTTTTTTAAAAAGGGACAGTTACCTTAAACAAAATGGACATTATATGTAAACTTGACTATATTAATATGAAATTGGCTAATTTCTTTAAACAGCTTCATAATTTTGAGGAATATCCCATCCAATGACAGCATTTAGAAACATATCTGGCCGGGCGCGGTGGCTCAAGCCTGTAATCCCAGCACTTTGGGAGGCCGAGACAGGCGGATCACGAGGTCAGGAGATCGAGACCATCCTGGCTAACACAATGAAACCCCGTCTCTACTAAAAATACAAAAAAATTAGCCGGGCGTGGTGGCGGCGCCTGTAGTCCCAGCTACTCGGGAGGCTGAGGCAGGAGAATGGCGGGAACCCGGGAGGCGGAGCTTGCAGTGAGCCGAGATCGCGCCACTGCACTCCAGCCTGGGCGACAGAGCGAGACTCGGCCTCAAAAAAAAAAAAAGAAACATATCTATACTTTGCAATAGACAGAAGAAAAACAGCTTAATGCCATGCAGCTTCATTAAGAAGCATTTGTTTGACAGTGGCAAAGAAAGTAATAGAATCCAGTTGGCAGAAAGAACATACCTTCGATGTGTTCTCTTATGAAAGGATCATCCATGATGTTGCTGTGATTTGTTTTTAGAATCTTTTCAAATTCAGTGATGTCATTATTCTGATAGGCACTAATAGAAAAACAAAAAGTGTAAATTATGTCAAACATGAAGAAGTTATGTATTAAATCAGATAATTCAAAGAGCCTGTTTCTCAATTTTCATATGCAAAAATCTAAATAATGTTATACTTTCTGTCATGGAAATCAGAGTTAAACAAGCATACATATCCTTCTGCCAAAAAAATATAAATTTCCTTTTCATGCTTTCCGTTTTTTAAAAGAAAGATTAAATAAATCTTATTTTGGGGTTATACACTATATTCATACATAGTTAATTAAAATCACTTCAATATCTTACTTTTGTTAAAAGTTGGCAATAAAACATTTAATGACTATTTAATGTTTGATGTTTCCAAATGAAATTGTGCATTTAATTCCTAATTGTTCATAATGAAAGGAACCAGGTTTCATGTACACTACTACATGAACGGGTGTAGCCGTGTCTTTCAAATAAGAAAGTATATCCTCTGTGTAGGTTATTCAGAAAACGCAGCTTCCTAACTTTTATATTCTAGAAAGCTACCAGCAACTGTCAAAATTTTCAAAAGGAACATTTCTCAAATCTCTCTAACCTTAAAATCCCACTGAGCTATAAAGCAGAGACATCAGTGGCAGATAATTAGTGCCAACTAGGTGTACACACAAAGTCAAGAGTGATGGAATCCCCTGTTGCAGAAGGCCAAAGGCTGATTTATAGTCATAATTCTCTAAGGTATCTAGTATCTCCTCTTGAAATAATTCTGTAAAGCTCTATGGGGATTGCTAAAGGTGCTGAGAAGGAAGAATCCAACCTTCTGGATATGGCACCACTGTCTGCTTTATATGTATCATCAGCTATTCTGCACGCCCTCTGCTAGTGCTTCCATCTGTTGGGTCCCAATGTAACTTCATGTTAGGGGCAGGTGATTCAAGTGCTTCAACAGGAATTATTTTCCTCTAGTCTCCTGGCAACTGACTAGGAAGATAAAATTAGGAAGCATTACTTTCTTACTCACCCCAAATACACTGCTGTAATATACTATATAGGAGGACATATTCAAGCATTGAAAACACTTGCATAAACATTTATATTTGTATACATACGTATTTTAACTGTAAGACATTCTTCCATTTCTTAAGCGGGTTTTTTTAAAAAAAAATCTTACACAAAATTGTGGGACACCATGGGTCACATCATGTGGGTCAAAATTTACCATTAAAATAAGTTTTGAATTCCAATACAGTGGCTTCACTGGAGTAGTTGGATATAATAAATATATAAATATTATTATACATTCTGATGTAAGTCAGATAAAGTTCTGATAAATCAGTCCTTTAACCAATTTTAACGTACTTAGACAATTTAATTTATATAAAATATAAATGTCTAGGGTAAAGCTTTTCCTCAATATTTCTTTCTAAATTGCTGCTCAGCAATTTAACATTATAAACAACTTTGGTTCTTAGTTAATGTGACCAAATGTGAATGAAATAAACTACCTGAAATAAAGATGAAGTTTTCTTCATCTTTATTAAAAGCATCATAATTAAAAGTAACCTAATTCAACAACCAAATTAAAATAAAGTAGTAAACAATAAAGAAACTGATTTAATGTGGTAACTTAAGGTTTTTAATTCCCAACTGTTCTTAGTCCCTCTAAAAAAAACCCTTTTATATTTTTTGCAGCCAAAATTAAGGTTTAAAAGTTAAATGAGGACATTTTACACAGAAACTTTAATATCATGAAATAAGTTATTTTCTCCAAGTACATACAATTTATATGTAGGTGACCCATAATTTGCAGTCTAATAGTATTTTCTGTTCAATGAAAAAGTACTATAAATAGAACTTCTGGTCACCTATTTACATATATCTGGAAAAAAAAAAAAAAAAAAAAAGCCCTGCTTTATGTCCCTAACTACATTTTTCCAGCTGTGGTAAAACTCAGCTGTACAACTTAAATAAAAGACCTGAAGAAACTTGGTAAATTTCTTATACTTTTTTAATGAATAAAACCCACAAAAACCCTGGGTTCCATTTATTCTATGCCTGGAGGAAAGTTTCTCTTACTCACTAATTCCTTTTGCAAAAATGGGCCTTTTCTTCTAGGTTTTTTGTTTGGTCTTATCTTCCATAATTTTGTTGAATATTAACTGACTATGGTAGGTTCTTCAGTGGTTAACCATCATTACGAATCATTCAATAAATCTTGGGTTTCTTACCAGTACGACCCTTCTGCCACCCCATACTCCACCTCAGAAAATTATCCATTGTAAACATTTTTAAAAATACTTCCATCTTGTCATTGAGAAAATATATGAGTAAAGAAATACGCTTATGCCGTCTTGTCTTACTGCAAATTCTTGACTCATCTTGGACTAGTTCATAATTTCATTTTGGATTAAGAGAGGTATAGGCAGTACTATTGTGAAATAACATTTTAAGACATCCACAATTTTCCACTGAAAGACGCAGGTGCATGTGTGTGTGCGCAGACAGACAGACACACACACAGATAATAGGAAAACTAAGTAGTGGACACTTTATAAAATCTTGTGGCTACAGAAAACAGCATGTAAATAACTTCAGAAAATAAAAATTCTACAAACTTTTCTAAGAAAATACAAAAGGGCAAATGTTGAATATCAACTGAGTTCTGAAAAGTTTTATCTCTCGCTCCTTTATGAATTGCTTTAAGGAAATTTACCTTAACTGAAATATAAAATCTTACCTTACTAAATTCGTCATTGCTAAAATTTCTGGATCATTTTTGTACGGCTTGGCCTAAACACAGTAAAGAAAAAAATTAACTAAGTATATGTACAAAGAAATAACATTTTAAAAAAAGAAGTAACATTTATTTCCAGATAGCTGATAAGAGAAATTAATAATTAAAACACACGTACCTCCTGTGAGTCAAACGGATTTATTCCCGATTTCATAAGCATATTTGCTAAGACCAAATATTTTAAGCAAGTGGTTCGTCTTGGACTTCCAGATTCATCATAATTCTTGAAGGCTTCAAAAAAATCAGTGTGTGCCTTTTCAAATTCACCTTCTCTCAAGTGCATTTTACCACCACATTCTGTGAAGAATAAGACACGAGAAAATAGGACATTTTCATTCTGTAATAACAAGATTGACCACCTCATAAAGGCCAAATGAAAACTATTTCAGTGCCTCTCAGTTTTTAAATTCTATAACTTGAAGAGTACTGGCCTCAAGGTATACACTGAAGTTCTAAAAAGCAAGAGTTTAATTAAACACTTTGATATCTCCCCACGCCACTGCCCACCCTCTCCAAACCAAACTTGCCTCTGATAACTCCCATAATCAGTGGATGAGGGATGGCAGACTTGATGTGAAGTGACTGTTCATAGAGTGCTTTAAGTTTTTTGTTATTTTTCTGTGCTGTGTACATTTGAATTTCCAAAGCATATATTTCTAATAACTGTGTACCTTTTTTCAGATCATCTTCTCCATCATCAGTCTAGGAAAGCAAATACTTAACTTTAGACAAGAGAGAATTCAGACAGTAATTCTTACTTGCATTAGCCTGGAAATCTTACATTTATAATACTATTTCCATGTGAAAAGGCAACACAAATTTTAATTGGAAGTTACAGCACTAAGAATACCACTTGTAATGGCCAAAAAGAAACTAACACATCCTTTCCACTTTTTAGTTATTAGATAAGGAAAAAGTAGCCAAAGGTTTTTTGTACAGTAGTCCTTCCTTATTCTATGACCTCCAGTGGATGTCTGAAACTATGTATAGTACTATGTTTTTTCCTATATAGTAAGTCCTCATTCAACACTGTCGATAGGTTCTTGGAAACTATGACCTTAAGCAAAACAATGTACAATGAAATCATTTTTTCCCCTCATCAATGTGGTGTTGAACAAAACAACATTAAATCACAGTTTCTAAGAATCTATTAACAATGTTAAGTGAAAACTTACTGTACATACATACCTATGATTAAGTTTAATTTATAAATCAAGTACAGTAAGACATTAACAATAACTGATCATAAAATAGAACACATAATAATATACTGTAATAAAAGTTATGTGAATGTGATCTCTCTCTCCCTCAACATATCTTATTTTCAGACCACAGGAAATAAGTTGACCACACGAAACTGAAATTGAGGAACGCAAACTATGGATAAGGGGTGGGGGGGCTGCTGTATGTATGAAATGTTTTAATGTTTGTGTTTTTATCTAGGAGATTTATTATTGTCTTCCCCAAATCTTCACAACTGCTTTAGAACCACTTATTCAAGTAAAAAGCCCTTCCTAAGTCCCTTCCACATGCCAGGCGCTGGGTCTATCATGGGGAAATACAAAGTTAAAAACCCCAAGGTTCTTGGTCTCAAAAAGTTCACACTCTAGTAGAAGATTAATCTGTCAGTAGATAAATTACAATATAAATGACAATGACTAGGTGAAGCATAAACCAAGTGCCTAGGAGAATGAAACAGGGACTAACTTTCCTGGAGGACGTCACACGAATCACAAAAAGGTGCTGACATTTGGGCATGCCTTTAAAATTGACCAACAGCCCACGAAATGTGGGCCATGAAAAATAGCAATATGATCAGCAGTAAGATATTCATAAATATCTCACACTGACATACACTAAGCCAAAATTTATTGTTTATTAGGTCTTCAAACTTAAAATTCTGTTTAATTATTCACTAATGAATCATAACCAGAGTAAAACATACAATATACAAAACAATCTATACATCTAGAGTGTCCTTCATCTTTCCCTGAACATACTTCCACCAAAGTACTAAGTAATATAATGCTATTTACCATCCTGATAGCATTTTTCTTACGTTCTTAAAGCAAAACTTCTTCAAAGGATTTTCTCAAATTCCTTATATACATACTGAAAGACCCTCCATCATTCAGAGATGGCTGCTCCAACATTTCCATTTCACAGGGAACTGAACCTCCAGTTGGTTATGAATCAGACTAAAGCATCCTAACAATGTGTAGACAAGAAATAATTCCTAAGTGACTAATCCGCTTTACAAAACTATTGAGTATCTGCAGGTGATTCATTTAGAACAGTCTCTTGATCATTTCTCCCATTCACAGAAATGACACATATATCATTTAAATAATACTACATGGTGGCGGGGGTGGGGAGGGGTTGGAAAAAAAATAGTACATGGCACTGGAAGAGTTTAAAAATACTTAAATCAGTATTTCCACATTCAATTTAAACTAGTATTAAATGATGTATTTGGTTAAGACAAAACAAGGAATATAAAATGAAAGTCTGGTTAAAAAGTTATAGAGCCATTCTGTCCTGACCATATGGCTTTTCAAATTTAAAGTAATTAATTACAGAAAATAAAGAACTCAGTACCTCTCACACTAGCCGTACTTCAAATGCTTGATAGCTACACATAGCTGGTGCTACCATATTGGACAACAGATATAGAACATTCCCAGTATCACTTAAAGTTCTGTTGGATAATGCTGCTAGGATTCATATAAATCGGAATATAAAAATATCTTTATTACACATGCTTATAATATCCTGGCTCTGTTTTCATAGGGTATATAACTACATATCAATATAATAGTCAAGTATTACAACAGGCCTGTTTGTTTATTGATACTTGGTACCTCATTACACAAAGAATAAAGATTGAGGGGCCAGGCATGGTGGCTCACGCTTGTAATCCCAGTACTTTGGGTGGCCGAGGTGGGTGGATCATGTGAGCTCAGGAGTTCAAGACCAGCCTGGGCAACACGGCAAAACCCCACCTCTACAAAAAAATACAAAAAATTAGCTGGGCATGGTGGTGTGCGCTTGTAGTCCCAGCTACTTAGGAGGCTGAGGTGGGAAGACTGCTTCAGCCCAGCAGGCAGAGGTTGCAGTGAGCCAAGATTGCGCCACTGCACTCTCCAGCCTGGGTGACAGAGCTAGACCCTCTCTCAAAAAAAAAGAAAAAAAAAGGTAATTTTATAACTTATTTTCTAAATTTTATTTTTGGGATAATGCTTAAACAAAAACATCCCTAAACAACATTTTGAATATAATTATTATTTTGGGGATAATGCTTAAACAAAAACATCCCTAAACAATATTTTGAATATAATTATTCATTATACTTTTATTATGAAGAAATATTCAGAAAAAAATAAGGGAAAGCTACCTGGCAGGACTGATGTAACTGGCGTAAAATTTTTTGAAGCTTTCCATATTCCTCTCGTTCTAAATATAATTTTCCAAGCTGCAAGAAAGCAAACTTATTAAAATCAAGATTTCAACAGAAGATGTGTATTTTCAGGAGACTTTATTAAAAACACCCACCCACTTTTCAAAAGAAAAGTGTAAGTAATTATAATTGTTACCTTTGTGTTTGTCTTAAACCACAGTCTATCATTCTTAGCATCTTTCAAAGCTTCCAGTGTTGTTTCATAGAATTCCTGCAGTAAATCCATCTGACATAAAAAATCAGAATTCTATAATTGTAAACAGCAAATTTGTACCTGTTAATAAAGTTAATTTGAACAAACTAAAAGTGCATCTTTGAACTTTAATACACATAAGATACACTACCTGTATCTTACTGAATGTCTTCTACAGTCCAAAAAATTAACAAACTGAAGCAAAATACAGACCAAATTTACAAGTGCCATGATCGGTTGTTTTATAAAACCCAGAAAATATTTCCCCATATAAACATACTGCGGTAAGTTCTCATGCTGTAATAGTATGTGTTTGTCCTTCCCAAACTAATAATTCATTCTGTATTTTATTTTACTTTTTAAAAAGCTAGTCAAGTGAGGCAGTAGGAGTGGAGAAGGAACAAAGTAATCTGTAACTGGTTGTGCTCAATTAGCTGTAAATACCACTCCACTCAGATCAGTCACTCATTTCATATTAACAGCAGTAAATGAAATGTACATAGAACTAGTTGTATTGTTACTAACAGTGTACATCTTATTCACTCAACCCTTATCTGGAGCCTATAATGTGGCAAACACTAAGCATGCTGGTGAAGAAACAAATAAGCTCCTTCCCTCAAAATTCTTCTATAAATGTGACTAAGTAACTCAACTGCATAGCTTTTAAGTCACTGGTAAACCATGGAGGTGTGTGGAAAGAAAAGTCTAGTATAATTTTAGCTATGTCTAATCACCACCAATTCACCAATCTGTGTGGCATTTTTTCATGGAAATCATTATTTGTTTTACATCTTGTTAAGTTCCCTTGCCCACCCCCTTCCCCCAACTTCTGGCTTTGCCTTTGTTTGAATATCTAATTCTCTGCTTAACTGGATCAAGAAGAGGACTGTAAGAGCAGGAAAATTTCACATTTTCAGAAAACACCATCTATTTATGCATGACTACTGATGGCATATTGAATAGAACTGAGTACCGCCCACCCAGTATCTGTTGTTACTTTCAAAAGACAAAAACCTTACATATAACAGCACATAGAGCATGCAGTCCTGAAGTTTCAAAATCACTCGATTCCCTCTCCTTGCTCCAATTACTGGCATAGTATTTATAAACAGTGTACCAAATATGTTTTGATGACACTCGTTTTTAAGAGTTGGAAAACATTTCCCCACTTTAGGAAAGCTCCACGATATATAACTTAACTCTAGAATTAGTGTCGTTAAGTGTTAATATTCTAACAAAACATGTAAGTTTACCTTCCTCTATTTGCATTACATAAAATTTAAATATAAAGAGTAGAAACTGCCTGAAAAAAATGACATCTAGTAGAAAAGACATTAAACGAGGCTGATTTTGATCTGAACATTCTTTGATCACGAGTACAAAAAAATCAAATATTCTAAGAAATACTAAATGATATAGAGACTATATCTTGTACCCAAATATCACAGAGTACGAGGATGAAAAACTAAAACTGAGGACTATACTGCTTACAAGGATAAGACCAAATGACCCAATTAAAAATTATCTTGCAAAAAAATATATAATCATTGGTTTTCTTAACAACCAAAATCTAGACTCATAATGAAAGCACTATCACTCCCAATACCTTCTTTAGTTTCTTTCATCAGTAGCTCTTCTTTCATTATCCACCCATCCTTTGCAGAAGCATTTACTGAGCACCTGTTGAGTAATGCCAAACACTAACTGATAAGAGCACAGGCACTTCTCAAAGATTTTAATATAACCAAATCCATACAAATAACCTGTGATTCAGTGTATTTAACACCTCAGAATGGCTAGCTGAAGTGCTAATGGAATTCACTAGAAGGACCCGTGGTAGCAACTGTATAGGAGTCTAACAAAAGGCTGAAAAGTTGTTTACAGATTTAGTATCTGAAGCAATTATTTAAAGAGATCAAGCTGGAGTTATTACCTTTTACTATTATATAATCAGTGATGTAACCAGGAAAATAGTACTTATCATTTTTAAAGCACACTAATAACTAGCGTAACTACTTAAATAGAAGCTCTAGGTCTTTTCATTTGCAAAGAACAAAGCGCTTACTATAAATAATAAACACACTGACAGCGCTAAGAGGGGAAAATTGAGTCTAACCTGTTTAGAAGTAGAGATATAATCAAGAATAGAATTAATGGATTTTTCAGAATAATTTCTTGTGACTGCACTCCGAATATAGGTCAATAGTTGTTTATATCTATTCATCATTTCTGGAAAGTTTGTCTGTGAGAAAAGAAAAATGAATTACCAGATGCAAATTTAGGTACTAAAATATGTACACATGATTAAGGTTACAGAATACACTACTACATAATGAAATGTAGTTCATATAGTTCCTAATATAGTTTTGTAAAAGAGGAACTATGTATGACAGGAACATTATAAACATTATCTTAAATTTGAAATGACTAGATTACTCAAACCAAATGTATAAAGTTAGCTTATAAAATAAGAACAACTGCTAAATTTTCCAAATTTCAGAAGTTGTCATTGTACAACGTATTTAAATCATAAAACCTACTAAAATATTCATAAGCCAAAACACAAATAAAATCCAAGTTTTTTCTTTTTTTTTTGAGACGGAGTTTCGCTTTTGTTGTCCAGGCTGGAGTGCAATGGCACGATCTTGGCTCGCCACAACCTCCGCCTCCCAGGTTCAAGCGATTCTCCTGCCTCAGCCTCCCGAGTAGCTGGGATTACAGGCATGTGCCACCACACCCGGCTAATTTTGTATTATTATTATTTGTTTTTTAGTAGGGACAGGGTTTCTCCATATTGGTCAGGCTGGTCTTGAACTCCCAATCTCAGGTGATCTGCCCACCTCGGCCTCCCAAAGTGCTGGGATTACAGGTGTCAGCTACCGCACTCGACCAAAATCCAAGTTTTCAAATGCCTTGGGTACCTGCTATGCAGGTTATTAGCTATATTCTCCCCTGTAATTTTATCCCTTCCTCAGGAAGCTCTGCAATAAGAGTTACTTGTTTCTTTTCTCCCTATAACTGGCTGGCTATATGTGAAAATGTGAAATTAAACAATCTTTTCAAGCATCGATACTAATTTCATATCAAGAAAAGTCTCCCCATCTAAGGTTCTACTCAACAGTAGATATAGTTAATGTTGTTATTCCTTGTATTTGTACTATTGATGTTGTTCCAGGAAACAAGAATGGTCTAAAAAATAAAGGCGTACTGAGACTTATTCTGGGAGAGCTTTACCAGTCCTAAGTATATCCTGTAAGTCAATTTATGAGTCTAACCTTATAACCTGCATCCACAATCCTCACAATCTGCAACTGCTATTAATCTCTTTTTTTCCTGAGTTCTATTCTACTTTTTTTAATCAAAGACATGAAGCACTGGCAGATACAAATGCTCCTTTCCTTGACTAATTAAACATATGTATTTATTAGGGTGAGGAATAAACTAATAATGTTGTAATTATCTTGCTTATGACAATATATTCTGCCTGGAGGCACAGCATGAAGAACTAGAAAACTTGAGAACAATCCCTGAATTACAATAAAACAGTAGAGGTGGATGAGACAAAAAAAAGGATAGAACTATGGAAATATATATAGATATATAACCATTTTTGTTTCCAAGTTTCATGTGGGGGTAAATGATAGGTAACATCCTGTCAGTGAGCTGCTAAATCCACATTACAGTACATATCTTGTAGCAAAAGGGAAATCAAAGAAATACGACTATCCTAACTTTGAAGCTGTACCTTGGCCCTGAAATAGGAGTTTTGCAAAAAGTTACAGTTTTTGGTTGGGCTTGGTGGCTCACTCCTGTAATCCCAGCACTTTGAGAGGCTATGAGCATCGCTTAAGTCCAGGAGTTTGAGACCAGCCTGAGCAACATGGTGAAACCTTGTCTTTACAAAAAAACCAAAAATTAGTCAGGTGTGGTGGCGTGCGCCTGCAGTCCCAGTTACTTGGAGGCTGAGGCAGGAGGATAGCTTGAGCCTGGGAGGTAGAAGTTGCAGTGATGCAGTGAACCAAGATTGCACCACTGCACTCCAGCCTGAGCAATAGAGTAAGACTTCATCTCAAAAAAAAAAAAAAAAAAGTTGCAGTTTTGAATTTATCTCCTTATGTTATGATAATTTATAGCTCATTCAAAAAACAATTACATTATAATTAAAGACTGAAGGAAGAGTAGGTAAATTGGTCCCAGAGCAGTTGATAGTGAACTCTTCCAACTTTTTACTATCTAAAATCACTACACACAACATATGTCCTACTCTGAGTCCAATCAGAAAACGAGAGGGGCAGGTACAGAAGCTGAAATCACTCTTGTGAACCATAACTTATTCACAGACGCTGCTACAGCAAACAAAAGGTAGGCAAGGTAGACAAAATAACATAAAATGCAAAAAACCCTCTCCCTTCCTTCCTTCCTACTCTGCTCAAGGTAAAATGGCAAAACCAAGTCTTAAGGGTAACACAGTGTTCAAATGGATTCAAAACGAAACCACTGCTAGTACATTAAAATAGCAAATTTCTATAGGGACTCTTGGTATTATCTCAAATCACAGAACCTACGAGTTAAACATTCAGCCCTTAATGTCACTATGATTGCTTAATCACAAATTTCTGTTCCTTGAAACGCTTGGTGCTTCTTCCACAGCCTTCTAAGTTATTAATCTGAATACAGTAAATGTTTGTGTTTAATATTCTTGCAAACAAAAAATGGAAAGAAAGCACAGGGGCTCTGGGCAACATAGAAATGTTTTGAGAGTATCAGAGCAGTAGGAGTAGAAAGGGTAAATATAATGCAGATAATTTTCATTCTTTAACTAGATTTAAATGCAATATACAATATACTTAATAACATTTAACGTGTTTTCACTTATTCTGATATATTTTGGGGAAAAAATGAACAAAAACATTTTGTGAACAGCTTCTGTAGGAGATGCCATGGACTGCCCCTCCTCTTAAAGGTGAGATAAACGATACCAGAGTGAGTACCTCAAAAAGAGGAGGTACAAGATTAGTAGAAGTTACCTGGAAACAAGTACTAGTCAGATGGGATAGAGAAGCTAATGGGGAGGAACAGGAAACATATCATATGGGAAATACAAAAATAGGGGAAAAGGAAAGTGGCAACATATCAGCTATTCTTCTATTTGCCATAGTTTCTGAACCTTCCAGCTGCTTCACTCCCTGCTAATCTGAGCTTCAACTTTATCTTTCTCTTAAAAGTTCTTCTTCTCTTTTAGTGATCTAAGATTCATGTTTGTACCTAGTCCTATCATCTTATAACCATTATAGGTTCTAAGAATATAACAACAGATAAAACAAAGTTCTGCTCTCATGGAGCTTACAACTTACTTGGGGGGAGGGGTGGTGTGAAGAGGGGCAAAAAATAATAGATCACATGGTGACATATGCAAAGAAGAAAAAGAGCAAAGAAGAAATTTAAGTGATGATGGGAAGAATGTTATTTTATATCGGGTGGTCATGGGAAGGCCATGCTGATAAGCGGTGCCATTTGAGCAGACACCTGAATCAAATGAAGAAAAAACCTGTACGGTTACAACAGAGAAGAGCTTCTGAGGCAGAAGAAACAGCAGATCCAAATCTTTACACAGGATTGTGCTTGGGATGACTTCAGGAACAGCAAGAAGGCCAGTGATGGAGCAAATAAAACAGCAGCAAAGGATGAGCTTACATAGGGACTTGTAGGTCATGGTAAGAGTTCTGGATTTTACTGAGGGAGATGGGGACCACTAGGAGATATGGAGCAAAAGAATGGCATAATCTGACTTACATTTTAAAAGGATCACTCTGCTACTTGTGGAGAACTGTAGCAGGGTAATGATGAAAGTAAGGAGACCAGTTAAGAGGCTATTGCAATAATCCAGGTAAGAAATCACGGTGCCTTGGACCAGAGTAGTAGACGTAGAAACAGTAAGTAGCAGTCATACTGGATATAAAGCCATGTGGATTTGTCAATGGATTATTTGTGGGGTAAGAGACAATGAGAAGAGATAAGCATAATGCTAATGTTTTGGCCTTAGTCAATGGAAGAGAAACCCTTTATAATAAACAGGAGAATTTTAAAACTCCAAAGTAAACATTAATCCTTTGTGGAAAAGTCAATCTATTAATAATGGTGGCTCAAGCCTGTAATCCCAGCACTTTCGGAGGCCGAGGCGGACAGATCACGAGGTCAGGAGATCGAGACCATCCTGCTTAACATGGTGAAACCCCGTCTCTACTAAAAATACAAAAAACCAGCTGAGCATGGTGGCACACGCCTGTAGTCCCAGCTACTCAGGAGGCTGAGGCAGGAGAATCGCTTGAACTCAGGAGGCAGAGGTTGCAGTGAACCAAGATCGCACCACTGCACTTCAGTCTGGGTGACAGAATGGGGGGAAAAAAAGCAGCCCAATACTGTAAATGCATCTAAAAGAATAAGTTTTCTTAAATAGAAAACTTCTGTATCCTATGAAGAATCTTTTTTTTTAACTTAGTATTTACTATAGCTCTAACTGCAAAGCAGACTAAACAGAAAAACACACCCAAAGTAGTACTTAAGAAAAGTAGATATAATAGTACTTTGTCGTAATGAGGTTTTTACCTGAAAAATTTATTTCATTAGTTTAATTCCCCTCAAAAACAAATCTTACCAACTTGAAGTTAATCTTAATCATTTGTTTCAGTGCTTTAAATCCCCATTCTCCTTTTTCACCTTCAAGTTCCAAAACCTAAAAAGAGGAAGAAATTTTTAGTTTATCTTAATATTAACATATTATTTTCTAATGATGTCCAATGTGTAAGTATTGAATTAATTTTATACTATATACATAAAAAACATTTCCCCAAGGATACCACCATTTCTCAATGTCATTTTTAAGTCTCTAAAAAAAACAAGTTGTAAGATGCTTACATAAGCATAAGCAAGCTTAAAGTTCCTTCATCAGGAAAATTAAGAGCTACTTCTTGATTACTATACAGTTCCTGAAATATTTTTTCCCCCGAATAATCAACCTATGGTAAAAATAATCCGTAAGTGTAACAGTAAGTCAAGAAATCAAGCTATTTATAATAACGAAACCTCAACTGTGTGATTTACCCCTAAAAGAAACAAGACTGCAGTGATAATACCTATTGACCATCATGTTGGTGGTTCTTCTGCCAGAACCAGCCTAGCTTTTCAGGACAATGGCCCTGCTCCATAGACAGCTTGATTGGAAAAAACATCAGGATAACCCTTTTGAAACATATGCTTGTGCTGTCTAATGCTAACTGATAGGATAATTAAGTATTCAAAACACATTTCTGAGATAAAATCACTTGGGACTTATTTGTTCTAGTATATCATTAAAAAAAAATTAACACACAGAATCAAATGGAAAAGAATATAAACCTTTTGGAAACTGCTTAACGCTGCTTTTGGGTCATCTTCTTTTAATGCTTTGGAATTATAGTACTGATTTTCCAAATCCACATTTGGCTCGGAGTTACTATCTTCAGAGTATTCCTGTGTTGGAAAGAAAGAAATATTAAAAGAAAAAAAAAAACCCCCACACATAGCAATGTAAACAGTGAATGCTGTTAAGACAGAAAGACCACATATTTTTACAAAACAAAACAACCTTGAATACATACATAAAATGCCACTGATATTCAACTGTTATATAAAACCAGGGGTTGAAGAAAGGAAGAGGGTGTATAGCAGAATATAATCATTTCTTCCAGATGAAAGTTAAAATTTCTATAGAATCAACATAAAAGAAAAATGCAAAGACCTAATATTGGTTAATGACCCCAATTCTGTAGTGGTTAAGCTTTCATTGGTCATGAAATCTGAGGGAAACCTAATGTAGATGTGTTCTAATTATTAATCTTTGGTTCTATAATTTTTTTCTATTCTCCAAGTCTAAATTTCATTATTGTAACATGGTTTAAAACTAGCTAGGATGGTAATCTACACATGGCAAAGTCACCTAGCACTAAATATAATTATGTTAATAAGAATATTTGCTTTATGTGCACTATACAACAGCTGTTTATACTAATGTTAATCAGCTTTATAACAAATCAAAATAAATAAAACAAAATGGATTTATATAATTTTATGAGACTTTCCATTACATGAGTTCAATTCTTAGTGGAAAAAAACGAGGCAGAAGGGAAAACTGGAATAAAACAACTATTTTGTAGCGTAAACAAGAGTTTTACACAGTTCCAGGACATTCAGTCTAATAAAGAGGATTACAAAATACACATGGATTGGTGTAATGGAAATCATTATCTTATGAGTCATAAGATAAAGATTATTTCCTTCTCAGCTATAAGTCATTACAAAGGGCAAGTTTATATCAAATTAAGAATAGTACCTGGAAACAAACACAAAAAGACAAGAATAGTTTTTATAGTTATTTCTAAATCCAAATACAGGTAACAAATTTCTTTATGAGATATTTATGAAAAATTATGTTACAGTCTCATAAAAGCATACGAGAGAAGAAAGGTATGCTGTGTATAAGTTATTCGAAAGCTCAAAAATACATTAACATAAGATGAATTTTTCAGTAATCAAGAGTGGCTTTGTAATGTGCGCCCTCTGGAGGATAATTCCTTCCTCGTGTGAAGACATGAGTCTGTCAGTCTTACAGATTTAAGACCTGGAATTCCGTTGTGTTTAACATATGAAAATCACTTGATGAAACTAGGTAGTAAGTTTCATAATTACTCATTTACTTCTTAACCCTTGTAATCTAGGCTTGACAACAAAGAAACTGATCAAGCTAAAAAAAGAGAAATTAGTAAAGAATGAACAAGCCAACCATACACAGAATGATGCTGTGACAGTGATGGCTGCAAAGCTGGGTTTGGAAAGATAAATGGAAGTTTGCCCGCTAGACAAAACAAGAGAGGATAAAGAGAATAGTACATGTAGTAACAACATAAACAATGGAAGGTAACTATTTGTTGGAACATAAAAGTCCTTATTGACTCTACCTTCAAAATAAACCTCAAATCTATCCACTCCTCAACCCCCTGCTTGCTACCACCCTACCCTACCCAACTACTTTCATCTCTCCACAAACTTTAACAGCCTTCTCATTCTCCTTTTTAAGTCCTAATATCCTCATGGTTAAGCAGGTGAAAGAATTCTCACAAAATATAAATTATCTTATTCCTCTCCTCAAAAATGGTTCCCATTCCTCTTAAAACCCAGAGCGAAATAATCAAAACTTGACTCCGGTGTCCAGCCTTATATCCTATCAAGTTCTCCCTCATTCACTTTGCTGCAGCCATCCTGGCCTTAACTCAATGGCCTTAACAAGTGCCAAATTCTCCCACTTTTATGTGTTATTCCTGTCTCTTTCCACCTCTACCTCTACCTCTGTTCATCTGGTTAACTACTGCATATCATTTCAGATCTCAGCCTAAGGGTATTCTTTAGGGAAGACTTGGAGTAAAGAATCACAGCTATAAAACCTACTCTATGCTTTTGGAAATCAGCTCTTTTCTAATTGTTTTATTAAGTTGGAACAAATACAAACGGATTTACCATATATGATTTATCATACAATAACTAAAATAAAAACTTCACTTAACACCATTGAAAAAGATAGAGGAATAGCTCGCTGAACCAGAGAATTATTTTTTTTTTTTGCAACCTAAACCTTCAGAATGCAGCCTTGAACCTAGAAGTAAAATGAAAAGTATTTCTGATTTATGTTGATCACAAAGTAAAAATTCAGAGTCCATTTATTTTGGTTTGTTGGCTCAAAACAAATTAGAAAAAACAATTAGGTCAGGTTTTGAGAAGAGGAAAGTAGAAGCTGAAAGGTATACATGACAACAGTAGGACTAGTGTTTTGGAGCTTCCTAGCAAATGAGAAACAGTATTTTAGAAAGGGAAGAGATTAACTTCAATTATCTAGAAATTACTGAACCAATTATAACACTGTTAAAAACAGGATCCTTGACATTTCCTGTCATTTCTCACACAGTGTCTTGTCATTCAATCATGGAATACTTATTATAAGACTAGTTACCTGTAACTTCTGGGACCTGATAGATTTCAGATAGAGATTTCTAAACTTTAGATGTTACCACTCCAAAACAAAAAACAAAAAACAAAACAAAACAATGACTGAGACAAGATTTGATTCAGCCCTCTACATTTTGTGACTATATTCTTTTGGTTTTTCATATCATATGGATTAAGAAATGGCATGTATAACGTTTTTGCATAATTGCAATTCAACTCTTAAAACAAATGTTATTGCTACAATATAAAAATACAGGAGAATTGGCACAACTGATACTCTACTGATAGACTACAAATAGGCAGTCCCTTGTTATGATCTGCAATGCCATGTTCGTATGGCTTGAACCAGCCATCATGACATCACTAATCCATCATTTGCATCCCACTGCATCAATTATCACAAGCTGTGCATTACTGCAAATTATTCTTCAGTTATTACACAGGCATAATTTTTCAAACTAATGTTTTGAAGTCTTTGGAAGAAAAATTCTATTGTTTAGGTGCTTCTACTATTTATACTCAAAAATCATGATCTTTAATATATGCCAGCAATTAATTACTGCTCACACAAATTCAAATTAACAACTCTTCCCCTCAAGGTACTCATTGTCTATTAAGGAAGAGATGTGCAAACAAAACTGTAATATAATATAATAAATAATAGACACACATACTAAGTCCACTGGCATCTCAAAAAGGAGTAATCAACTACTTCTGAGTGAGAGGAAGGAAAAAGACACCCGAGTCAGGTATAAAAGTATGAATAGGAATCGCCAGCAATGGGGAAGGGCAGCTGAAATAAAGCAATTAATCTGTAAATGCAAGGAAGCTTGAAATAGTATGAACAGTTTGGGCTGAAGCACAGGATGTTATGTAAAGGGTTGATGAAAGATGAACTGGTATTGAACAGAGGAAGAGGACAACAGAAATCTTGCAAGGAGATTAGATTAAATAAAGAGCCTCTAAAAGATTTTACAAGGAAATAATCAGATTTGTGTTTCTGGAAGAGTACTCTGGTAGCAATGAGGTAGTCCATTGGATAATCTTAAGTCTGGCCAGGAGCTGTGAAGGCCTGATTCCAAGAAGTAGAATGAGGAGAAAAGGCAGGGGACACAATAAATGGTGGAATAAACACAGAAGATGTTAAACAATGTTAGGGAGGTGAAATAAAAGTGCCTATATGGGCACAAGATAATGGAAAATAAAGTGATCCATAATGCCTATCAAAGGTTTGGTAACACATGATGCCATCACTCAGAATAGGAAATCTAGAAGTATTGAGTAAGTATTGCTAAACTGAAATAGTTACGTCAAATGAAAAAGAGATAATAATTTGTAAAAGTTTAAATGTTTTTTTAACAGAAGAGAAAGTGAAATTTTAATTAGTATATAAAGAATGCTTTAAAAACAAATGAAGAGTTTAATATATGAAAAATAAACAAGCACTTGTTCTACAAGAACAGTTGGAAAAGGGATTAAAAATTAAAAAACCCCCTAAAGTTCAATAATAGTTTCAACCTACTCATGTCCTGATAATTCCCCCAAGCAATTTGTGATCCATCCACACAACCAAAATCTACTCTTTCTCAAACATGTCACACAATTTTAAATCTCTGCTTTGGCATAAACTGCTCTTTTTGCTAGAATTCTAAACCATTTTCCCTCCTAACAACCTTTCTGCTTTTCTCCTAAGATACTTCCCTGCCCTAATACTGCTGGGAAATGCGTTCATTAACTCATCTTAGCATCACTCTTCTTAGCAAACTAATTTTTTTTTCTTCGTCATGCTTCCATATGACATGCATCTCTCTACCACAGAGCTCTGTATGTTAAAACAGGCCAAATTGTGAACTTCTCAGAAGCAGGAACTTTCTTATTCATCTGTGTATTCCGACAGCCTGGGATATTACAAAAGGCTTAGTGTTTGGTTAATTAAAATAAAAGGTGGGTAAACATTCCAAAATAACACAACACACAGCAGCCAGGGTCAATTTTGACTGTATCAGGTATGTAGCTACTGCTGAACAGGATCAGTTCCATAGTTCATTTACTTACTCTTGTATCTATTGCCAATAGAAGTCCTAAGAAATGTACTTTAGGAAAACAACACTTACCATTAACAATGCTTTCCGAGCCTTGTCTAACAGCTGACCAGATGCTGGGCACACTAAGAGGTGTGGGCAGTGTTTCATTATCCTTAAAAACCACATGATTCGAATCCTAGGTAGCCATTTATGGTTTAGCTACTGATAGAGTTATCCATTTAAAAAAATTCACACAAGTTAATGGGTGCTGATTTGTTAACTATGAAGTTAGAATTAAAAAAACAAAACAAAACAAAACAACTGTCTGCTGGGCACGATAGCTAACGCCTGTAATCCCAGCACTTTGGGAGGCTAAGCAGGGGTGGATCACCTGAGGTCCGGAGTTCAAGACAAGCCTGACCAACATGGAGAAACCCTGTCTCTACTAAA